AAAAAAAAAAAGAAGAGCAGCACTCGTAGATAGGCGCATGCAGATCGATTTTCCGACTCGGACTTGGGTTTTATTGGACAATTCATTATTCGGTCCAGCCCGGCACAGCTCATTCAAATGACAATTTTTCTTTTTTTCAATAAAAATTAAAACAAGGGAAATTTTTACACATACTACACGAAATAAAAGAATTTTCAATTTTACCTTCCGAGAACAAGTAACAGGATATATACCTGATCAAATTATTTTATTTACGTGATTACCTAAATATCATTTACCTTTTGTAACGTCCTCCATCCATATCAGTTATCCTTTGGTGGCGATTTCCACCATCGTTACCAGAAAAAAAAAAAAAATCATATTTTTCATTTCAAATTAATATCAGACCAATTTTTATTGAAAAAAATATGAGATTTGACAGCTAAAAAAAAGGTTAGGGGATCGATCAGAGACAGCGCGACAATAATTCACCGAACATATACTTAAGAAAATCGTGACTTCACGGGCGATAGGATGGAGGTATATTTATGTAATTTTATCGTATAAAAAACATGTATTGTAATTCACGCAGGAGTCCAGAGGTGGGTATATGTTGCGTTTATATTATTATATATTCAGTATATGTTTAATATATATACATATAATATACCATCAAAAAATGTTGGTGTGTGTGTTGTATATAATTCAGTGATTATAGTAAATATAAAACATAATCATAATGATGGTATATGTATTGTATATGTTTTTCATGATTTTACTACATATAAACAATACATATACCGAAGATATACTAAATATAAATTATACATATAACGAAAATATACTGAAGATATACTGTACATATACTTTACATATACTCCAAAATAAATCAAATGAAAAAAATCTCAAAGAAGTTGTCATGATTTTCTTCTTCTTCAAGGCCTCGGGTGTTTTGACCTCACTCAGCCTCTTCGTCTTCTTCTTCGCTAATCACTGTTTCAAACTTGAACTAATTAACATCTACAACACACGCAGCCATCGCCGAGGATATCAATCCGCGAGTCACCGAACACGCGAGGCCTGCAACCACCGCGAACCACCGAGTTCCCACCACCCTTGGCTGAAGTTCACCGTCTGACGATCCCGCAACTCACGAACCGAAAGAAAGCTGAAATTCCTTGTTGCTGGATTGTTTTCGAGTATATCCAGAGATTTTTTTCTTTGCCATTGAAGGAGAGATTTTTTGCAGGGAGAGAGAGGCGAACGTGGGGCGCTAGGGTGGTTTTTGACACACACACACACACAGAGAGAGAGAGAGAGAGAGAGAGAGAGGATATATATTTGTCTGATTGTTTTGGTAAGTATATGTTTAATCCCAATTAATGATCTCAATTGCATTTAATTAGCCAACAATTTCTTAAAAGGCGGTTACTTATATTGGCTTAAATCTTAGGTACAATTGTAAAAATTTTAGCTTCTTTAGGTAAATTTAAAAATAAGTATATAAAGGGTAGAAAAGTGTAATATAATTTACAGGTGTAATATAATTTAAAAATAAGTATATATGAGGTAGAAAAATGTAATATAATTTAAAGGTATTAGTATGGGTGCAATTTCTTCTAAAAACAACTCATACGAACTTACTACATAGGTAGAAGTGTGTGCAATGTTGTCTTACCACCAATTGAGGAAGCTCTTTCATTAAGAATTTGACACAGTTTATACCTATAAACTAAATTATATTAAATAAAATAGATAAATAGAACAAACTAAAATAATTATAATAAAAATATTATAATAAAAAATAAAAAAGATAAATTACCTAGTTAAAATAAAAATAAATAAATAATACTCCGTATATATAATTCAAAAGTTATACTCAATATACTAAACAAAATAATTTAAAAATAAGTAAATAAAGTAAAAAAACATAAAATAATTAATTTAATCATATTTATAAGCTTAAATATATGATTAAATAAATCTTTATTATTTAATTTTCCTTATAAAATACAATAAACATCTTTAATTGATACTTTGATAAATGCCTGACATAGGCATCCCGAACGATAGCTTGTAGCGAAGAACTTACGGGGTCCGTAAGTCCGAGCGGCTACTCCTTAGGGGAATGGTGACATTCAGTACATTACAGCCCATTACATAGTAACTTGTCATTGTATAAAAAGATATACAATTTAAAATAAATCAAGTTAAGATAAATTAGTTTAACTAAACTGAAATAAAAATAAAATGCATAGATGGATAGGCCTGAAAGAAGTGGATCAAGACATGAAGACAATCAAACAAGGAATAGAACTTAGGAGGCTAAAATTGAAAGGGAAGTTCAGACACTTCATTTGGAAATATTTTTCAGGGATTCTATCAGTGGGACTGAATTTGATTAAAAAATGGATGGAGTGTTGGGTTTATCCAATCAAAATGGGATAAACATTTTCAGGTCGTGACCCAAGGTCACAATGTGACCTGGGTCACTGAATTTTCACGACCTTTCCTTCGTTTGTTTTATATTTTTTATTTTTTTGTTTTTAATTGGTGACCCACTAGGTTGGGTCACCGCTAAAGTTAGTCTTAGGCTTATCCATCTATGCATTTTATTTTTATTTGGGTTTAGTTAAACTTATTTATCTTAATTTGATTTATTTTAATATGTATATTTAAATGTACTTGCTGTTAGGTTGATTTCATTTATATTATATGTAAAATAAATGTAAATTAAACAAAACGAGAATAACCAACCTAAAATATGATACATTGTTGAAAACTAAAATTATTAAATATCAATTAAAAATCTTTGTTGCCTCTAATTATGATGTGATTGTGTTGGGTTTCTAGGCCACGTCTGTGTGGTTCTCTCATTTTACTCAGTTAGTTCATACCCGTTGGTGTATTTGTACAATGTATTGTTTGTTTTGGTTATTATGGAGATTCCTATCATTCCCAAAAATTCAAAAATTATATGCACAATCACACAGATACAAAAGGTCCATTTTATCCATTAAATGGAACAACTTAATCAATACAAATCCACGAGAGGTGAAGATTGAGCAATTTTTACAGTATAACAATAATAAGACAGAAAAGACAACAAAGCCAGTCTTTTCTAAACAAATCAAATCCTTGAAGGAATCAAAGGAATTGTGTTCTGTAAGTATGCAGAGGCAGCCCCGACGCCACTGCCGAGCTTTACCGGATAGCCGACATCTTTGAGCACCATTTCCACACCAGCAAGACAGCCCAGCAGTTGTAGCTGTACCAAATTGCATGAGCAACAAAAGTAACCAAGTAACTGTTAATAGATACTTATCAACCATGAACGTAGTAAAGAAATGCATCAAAACCTTTTTTACGCCATAACATTTCCAAGGATTAGTCAACTACGAAAAACTACCTGTCAATTTAGACGAGGTCCTTAACTCGTCCGATTTATCTTTGAATATTATGATTACGAAGATAAGGTGCAATTTTAGTCGTGGAACTCTTTTGGGTTTTACTTGTTTAGTTCTTCAATTTCTTGATGTGGAAACTGCAGTCCTTGGCGGTTATACCTTTAGTGAAGATAGTAACTTTTTTATCGAACTTTGCCTAGCTTTTGGATGCTTCGGCATTTAACAGCATTTGATACTAAATCAAATAACGAGACAACCATTTAAAAGAAACTAGAATCAAAATCCCATGGAAATGCAACCAATATAGCAGAAACTCAAAAAGTTTTACACGGCTAAAAAGCACAATGTTACATGCTCATGGACCAAATTGCTAGTTCCTAAGCTAGCTACAGGATTTGTATTTCAATTTATACTCTTTCAGGTGGAAATTTGTGGGGAGCAACTGTAGTTTCTAATTATATTCGAAATTTGGGTGGTAATTTCCCAATCATACCTCAGAATCATGCTACTTTTGAGTTATTTTTATAACAAGCATGAAACAAAAGTCGCTAAGAAGTAGAAATTAATGTAAATCTACTTGTGACGAGTGGAACATGATGTATGATGACAATGATGTTAGAAGAAGATAAAAGCTTACGTCATTCAGATTCCCAAGATGCCCTATTCTGAAAACCTTGCCGGCAACCTTGTTAAGGCCGAGGCCCAAGCTCAAGTTGTAACGTTTCCAGGCGCGCTTGACGATCTCTGAGCTGTCTATGTAAGAAGGGACGACAACTGCAGTGACGGTGTCACTGTACCATTCCTCCTTCTGAGTGCAGTTTTTCAAGCCCCATGCCTCTACTGCAAGCCTGCATTTACACGCCATAATTAAGGTACCAACTTTTCAAAGTAGTTGAGATGAGAAGATGCCGGCTAAACTCTCAAATAACACAGTTCAGACTAACTAAAATAGCAGGGTAACTTGGAGGTAAATTTAAGAGTTTTTCGACATTCAAGTGCTTTTATGACTGAGGTGATTGTAAAAGTAATCCCTGAGGTTTGGAGGTAAATTATATCGCTTCCTACCAATTTATCTTTTATATACAAACACTAGCAACTTATAATTTTTAAACTAGCACGAAAATGAAAAAAAAAAAGAGCAGACCTGGTAGCCTTAGCAAGGCGGGCATGCCTGGCAAAAACATTCTCGAGCCCCTCCTCAAAGAGAAGGTCGAGAGCGGCCCTCAGCCCATAGAGAAGCTGAATGGAAGGTGTGTATGGCCAATAAGTCCCCATCTTATAGAACTTCAAGTAGTCGGCCCAGTCGAAGAACACACGCACTGATTTCGCAGTCTTGGCGGCCTCGAGCGCCTTGGGGCTCGCACACACTATGCCCATCCCAGTCGGCAGGGAAAGTGCCTTCTGGGAGCCAGTGAGGGCCACGTCCACTCCCCACTCATCCATGCGGAAATCGAGCGCGCATATCGAGGACACACCATCAACCAGAATCAATGCTGGGTGCTGGTAATGATCTGTCAAACGTAAACATGCAATTTTTTTTATTATTTAATTACCGAAAAACACATTTCTGTATTAATTTCAAATGCTTATTATTACCGAGTATTTTTCTGACAGTAGCCAGGTTGTTAGTAACACCAGTTGCTGTCTCGTTGTGGACAATACAGATGGCCTTGATAGTGTGGGCACTGTCCTCGGCTATTTTGGAGGCCAAAACATCGAGATCCGCACCGCGGCCCCACTCGCTCTCCACAACATCAACCTTGAATTTGAGGCGCTGTTGCTGGTCGATCCACAGCAGACTGAACTGACCAATCAGGAAAGAAATTATACGGTCTCCGGGAGACAGTGTGTTCGTCAGCGCACTTTCCCATGCACCCGTCCCTGTCCCAACACAATATGTTATTGAAATAATACAATCAAGTACCATATAAAAAATATGAACTAGTTACTCCATTGATGGATAAATCTTTTTTTTTTTTTCAATTTTATATTTTCCCTTTAGAAAAACAATGAATTGAAGAGGTCAAAGCAGGCAAGGCATATACTATTCAATACAGCAGCAAATGCGATGACACGATTATTACACACCAAAAGGCAGAGTTCAAGTTAGCAGTGTGTACCTGTTGTGGGAATGAGAAAAGGAGTCCCAGAAGTGGTCTTGAAAATCTTTTTGACATCCTCCAAAAGCAGTTTAGTAAGTGCAGGAACAGCCGGTGACCGGTAATCCTCGTTGTTACGGCTCATAGCACGAATGACCTGGTCCGGGATATTCACCGGCCCCGGCACAAAAAGGTGGTTCCTTCCCGGTCCATTCACGTAGTCCATCACTTCAAAATGATTGCCAAACCCTTTTACAGCCTGCAATTTCATGAAACATTGTCATGTAAGTATGATGTAGCTTGAAGCCTGCTACCACACCGGGAAAATGACTTAATTTAGTTTAAGTCCCCTAAAATTTTGGAAATTTTTTTTAACCTCCCAAACTATGCGGATTTTTAGATTTTGCCTTTTTCACAATTTGCCTTTCATAATAATCGAAAACAATTTGACTCAACCATAATATGACACAAAACTTTTTAACTCAATTATCGATAAATTTTAAAGTGATCTTTAAAATTGATTTAGGGTTTTTAAATCAATGGCGAGACAAACAAAATGAGGTATGATTTGTCGATTTCTGAAAATTGATACCTCTGTAATCGATCGATGAAGATAGTAGGAACGCGTGTATATAGAAAAAATTTCAATTCAAGTTTTCTGTTAATCAAAGATATCCGGTTTTCGATTAGGAGGTCTCATTTGAAATCTTTCGGGACCAATTTTCTAATGCGTAAATCTTATGAAAATCCAACGGTCAGATTTTGATCAACTACTAATCAATAGTTAGCTTTTTTAGGCTACTAACTAAAATCCGACCGTTGGATTTTCATAAGATTTACGCAATAGAAAACTCGTCTTCCAATCTATAAATGACACATTTTAATCGAATATCGAATACCTTGATTATCAGAAAACTTGAATTGAATATTTTTCTATACATACGTGCTCCTACTATCTTCGTCCATCGATAAATCGACAAACCATACCTCATTTTGTTCGTCTGGGCTTTAAAAGTCCTAAATCAATTTTAAAGATTATTTAAATTTATCGTTAATTGAGTTAAAAACTTTTTTGTGTTGGGTTTTCAACTGAGGAGGCAAATTGTCAGTTTCGATCACTGTGGGAGGTATATTGTCAAGAAAAAAAGTCCGTAAGGCAAACTCTAAAATCGGCACCCTAAAATTTTTAGTGGAACTGAATTAGTTCTAGCAAAGAAATCTTATTATTATCAGGGAAGCAGGTCAACTGGATTTTATTAACAACGTATGAAAATCTCTAGAAAATGTAAAATCAATAATATTCTTCTTGTATTTGCAAACAAGATTCTGAATATTCTGTCTAAAATATTTCAAGCACCATAACAATACCTCTTTTGACATCACATCATTGAAATAAAGTTAAACATCACAAAAATCCACAAACAGGGAAGCTTGATTCACAAAATAAAAGTAGACAGATAAATGAACACACACACACACACACACACATATGCCTCTCAACCTATTTCTCATTAGAACACACATGATTTCAAGATTGTAACACACATACACACACCCCACATGCATGCTGATTTCTCGGGTCAAGTCGACCCGGTATAGTATCCCATATCAAATATATATATATAGATATATATAAACATATAGCATTTGAATTTGATAAAGGGATTAAAAAATCGAGATAAACAGTTGAAGATTTTGAACTAAAATAAAAAAAAAAAAGTAATTAAGTTGTAGCAATACCTGCGTTGTGAAGAGGAGAAAAATAAAAAATGGGGGAAATATTTGTGAAAAGGCCAAAGGGACTGCGGAGTAAATTTTATAAGAGCGCGGGAGAGCAGTCACAGCTTTCCGTGGGTCCCACATCGTCGGCTTCACACGTGGCGGATAAGAGTTGCACAATCGTCAATCCTGCGGCTAAGAATGGGTGACGTCGTGCGAGTTTAATGGCAAATTATCATCTTGGTTCGCTTGTCTGGTTGTAAATTGCAATAATATGGGGAGATGATACAGTCCTGTTACGGAATCATTCCGTCGGAATTTGTAATCGTTAGATCAAATATCCCCGACGGTTACATGAGGATTTAACGGTTACAAACTTCGACGGAATAGTTTCATAACGGGACCGTGGCATTTCTCGGGATACCTTAAGCACATAAATTTATTTTTGAAAAAAAAGAATTCGTTCCTTCACAATTTTAGCAATATGTAGTTTTTCAAAGTATTAGGAGCAAAATTTTAAAAACATAAAATACCTATACAAAGAAAAATGGATTGCTAGTACACACCATAGATATTTTTCTTTTATCTTTAAAAAGCTTGAGGTGGAAAACAATATCTGAAAGATAATGTGATAAATGGCCTCCGAACCACATCTGCTTTATAGTCCACGAGCCACACAAACCAAACTCAAGCTTATGCTTTTTGTTTTTATCTTGCTTTCTTTTCAAACTTATAAATGAGTTTGTTTTTATCTCTTGAGGGTGTCATCAAGACAACGATGGTGTAAATTGAGAGGGGGCAAAATATTATATAACATAATTTTAAGAGGACAATAAAATTATGGAACACAACAGGCGTTAAGTTAATTATTTTCCATTCGGTTGTTAGTTAATTTTTTATGATCTTCGTTGCAGGAAATGCCCTCTCCACAGTCGCAGTAGCAACTGACAAAGTTAATGCTAAAGTAATAAGCATATAGACCAAATACCACATGCCTTTTAGTTTCCACAGTAAGTTATGCTATACCATCGACCGCAGAAAATTCACTGCTCGTACGCGCATCGATAATACAATTCACAAATTGATTATCAAGCGCCACAATATCACATGCAGAAAAATCCTTGAATACATTATACATCTCAGATTGTCAAACACAGAGGAAGAGAAGAAAAAGTCAGCCCTGTGATTGAACCACCATGCGCAATCCATTATCACTCGCGGAGGCACAAAAGTAATCTACCGCTTTAGACGGATTCACGCGTGTTGCAGCTTCACTTTCCATCTCTGAGATCAAAAAGAATAGACATCATCGTCATCAATTACCAAATGCAAAAGAAGAAGGAAAAATAGTAAAATCTATTTCTCATTCACCTGCAGTTGTTCACTTAATTATACTGTTTCTGCAACACAATCTTGAAAACCGAATCAGTTCAAAACACCCAAACCACAATCGCATCTGTCTTTCCAGCCAAGTCATCAAAGGTAAACAGGCCAGCTTATCATTTCATGCTTCGCAACTAAATTGTCCAAATGATTGAACATAATTGAATTCTAGAGTAAGCAACGAGCAGCAATATCAGAATCAAGCACGAACGGTACATTGCAACAGAGCATCCACACTACCCATAAATGCAATTTGGCATGGCCATACTAAGATTTACAAAAAAACAAAATAGCATAAAATAAAATAATTATGTAGGGACCATCCACAGAAACCCAAGCTAAATAGACGCAGAACTGCGAACTGCATTCAGTAGTCTATCGGTCTATCCGAGCAAAATTGTGATTTACACTTTCATATGATAATTCATTATACAAAAATTGTCTTCTTTTCATTATGCTTCTTCACAAACGACCGTTGCATCCTTCCAAACTACCCTCTATTTACTCATAAGAAAGTCCAAACTTGAAATAATTTGAGGAAACAAAAAAAAAGCCAAAAAGAATTCTTGTTCCAGGATTCCCAGGCATTTTACTTCCCTTTCACGTCACCTTCCCAACCTCTTGTTAATTTTATATTTCTCCCACCTGCTTCTTCCGGCACTTTAAGTGCCTTTTTAACCAGCTACATCTGACTGCTATAACAGCAAAATTAGTATTTCTACTTTGCCAGACCTTGAGAGAGATAGAAAACAATCCCCCGAGCAGCCATACACGTCCACAAACGATGAAATATCCGAATATCTACTTGATACCAGATGAGAAACCAGACCTCGGAGGAAAGTTAGCCTGTTGTTGTGATCTGTAAGGCCTCCCGTTATTGAATTGTCTGCCGTCAGGTGGTGGAGGGCCAAGGATCCCAGTGGAGCTGGGATCGGGTATCCATGGACCATTGTTGGATGGTCTTTGGTAAGGATGCTGATGATGAGAGGTCTCAGACTCGGCTCTTTTTCTCCGTTTCCAAGCTTCGAATTTCTCCACGTCAAGATCCCTGTGCATAAAAGGTGGTACCGAACCATTAATGTGGGAGGGCCCGATGCTGGATGCCGGTTGTTCCTGTTTGAGTTTAGAATAAATTTGTTGGAGCCTCTCTCCGGACAAATTTGAAAAGGTGGATACATAATTCCATAATCTTGTGGTCATCCCTGCAAAAAATGAATATTATGCATAGGAAACTATTTCGCCAAAAGGATAAGGTAGGTATAAGTAAAATGATTTTTGTTCATCTTTCTCTGTTTAACAAACTACAACTGCCCCCATCTTAAAAGATGGACCATTATTTATTCCCCAGTTTTCACAGACTGAAAAATGCATTTAGTATACTTCATAAAATAGAACAAATCCAACATTCATATTTATACGCTTATTAACACTGAACCTTGTATCTGATCAACTACTTTGAAAAATGAAATTACCTCCATGATACAGTTACTACTGCAATAAATGCCTCGATGTTAATTAATTATTTTTATTATTATATTACTAATTATAATATATATATATACACATATATGTATATATATTATATATTTTCTTCGTTACTGAAAGTAATAAGCTCATTCTACCCATCCAATAATCCAGTCTGTGTCAATGCATAAATCTAGTGAGAAAATGAGAATGCCATTACATACTTTCTTGCCTATAAGAGTCCTGCTGATACTCTGAAACAACCTGGTCAACCCTGCGACCAATAAGCTGCAAGTAATTCCGAATCTTGGAAAGCACCTTCTCCTTCGGCAGGTCAGCACTAGTGGACTGCAGCTTCTGAAGACGCTTTAGAGTCTTTTCCTCATCCATCATGACATCTTCACACCACTCCATCCACTTCACCTCCTTGAACTGCTCGTAAACTTCTTCATTATCAGACATTTCACCTTCCTCTTTCACTAAAGGCTCGGCCTTCTGTGATTTTGGAGCTCTTCTTTTATTTGTCTGAACATTTGCACCAGGAGAACCAGGTTTTCCCTGTCTACCTTTTCCACGTAATTGTGCTGTTTCTTTCTGCCTCTTTGCATTCTTGCGGCCCACTTTCACAGTTGGATTCTTCGCCCCAACAGCAACAACTTCCTGGAAAATAGATTATGCAGCGGTAGAAAAGAAATAGATAAGCCGGGTGTCCCAATATAAAATATGAAGGCATCTTCTAGGCCCAATGAAATTACAACATACTGAAAAAGAAGGGAAAGAGATAATAATTAGAGGTCCATTATCTTTTGGTGAACAAAAAGCTTCTGGACTACAAACTAGCTTATCTCTATATGCATAATTACGATATCTTCAATATGCATGAAGGGACGTGGTAAGATGTTCAAGAGTTCACACCAATGACCCAAAAAATTAAATAAAATCAGAGATGCATATTCCTACCGTGGAAGAAATACTGATGAAAATGATACCAATCAAACCACTTAAATAATATCCTAAATATATTATGATCCTAACAATAGTAAATTGCAGTAGTCATATCAGTTACAAATTATCCTAAATATATGATCCTAACAAGAAACAAGGGATAAACTAATGGATTTCACAATTCACGCCAGATGAAATAATTGCTTCTGCTCCCAATATCAGAAAAGACATCTCAAGTATTTACTACAATTATCTCAATACAAATTAAATACATTCTATACTGTAGTAATGATAAAATGCTTAGCCTAACACTTGTGCGTCTCAGAAAAGCCAATCAGTAGTAATGAATTGAGTAAACCAGACAATGTCCTTGTCTAATATTAATATACCCCTACTCCAGCCAAAGCATAGGTCAATTATAAAATAAACATCAAGTTTCAAGTTCATGGATGTTGAAATACTTCATTAATGACATAAAATGATACATTCATCAAGTTTCAAGTTCCTGGATGTTGAAATACTTCATGAATGATACAAATGATGCATTCAGCCTACCGTTTCCAAAAGCTGTGAAGCTCGTTCTTTCAGTTGGGGGGCCCGCGGTAAGAAAGTTTCATGATGCTGAAGTTCCACAGGAGCAATCTTCTTAGTAAGACTAAGTTTTTCATCTAACCTTATCTTCTCCCAATTTCCAAATCCATGATAGTGAATTCCAAGCAGCAACCTTGCATCATCCTCTGATGACATCCAAGTTAATAAAAATAAAAATCCATTTGAACAATAATAGCAACACAAGCGCATTAATATTTTGGTCAAACATCACAATTCCCCAGCCCCATGCAGGAATTAAATCAAAATAATTGCACATGAAAGGAAAAGTATCACTTACTTTGGTTCCAACCACAACCTTTAGACCATGTTGATGGCTTGATATAAGCAAGTGCTCTGAATTGAGCGATGGGATCTTCATATCGACTAATCCGTTTGCCCAGGAGCTGAAGTTCTTCAACACGACTTAACACTTCATCAGCCTTTACAGGCACACCAAAGAAATCCAACAGTGGACCCTGAAGAGTAGTAATAAAAAGTTTCAGCTGTGCCACAAATTAAGAACATTAATGACTAAAAATCATATAACACTAACTAACGAGTTTCCAGAAAATCAAAGCAGCAAACCTTTGGGTCCATTGTATCCCCTTTAACTGCTTCTTTACAACCATCTATTAAAGCGTCATAGAGCTCGATTTGTGCTTCAGTTGGAGCAGCTTCAACAACTCCACCAACTTCAGCAGCTATCAAGCTTATCTGGCTATCATTTCCAAACTTCTTGACCTAATTTAGGAAAGTATCAGTAGGATAACTATCTCAACCAGAAACAAATAAGGTAGTAACTAAGCTGAGGCTAAAGCTTAAGCTCCCAATATCTAAAGAAGCAGTTACTAGAGAAACTTATTAAAGGCTAGAGCTAAACTGAGGTTCATTGCCTCATATAGTTACAACAATAAATTTTCTCTGTATCAAGTCCATAGGGTATCAGGAGAATACATTTAGGTAATAATCTTTTATTCTATTTTCTTCTTTGAAGATTCCAATCCCTTCATCCAGTAGAACTTATCATTATCAATAGTTGCTGATACTCTCATTATTTTGTTAAGACCCTTATGCAGCAGGTTATCGTTCTTTTTTTTCTTTATTGTCAAAGAGCACATGTAAATGGAGGGAAATACGGCAAACTTTGGATAACAGGCTCACTATCAGTATATATCTCCATCACCAAAAAAATCTTTCTTATGGTGATATACATGTTGCAATAAAACTGCTTCTTTGAACAAAACTGATGTCACAATCTTTTAGAGAGAAATGGTAACCTAAAACTCAGAATATAAATATGATAAGATGAAGTTCTAAATGTTAATCCAAAAAAAGTTAAGTCATCATGTACAAGATATACCAAGAAAGTTAGTCATAATGTTTCATCTTTCCTGATGCTATATGTCGTACAGGAATTTAAGTTAACTTGCACATTTTATCATCCACTATCCTAGGACCTCTCTCTTGGCCAGTCAAGAACGTGAACTCCAACGTAAACGGATAATAAACTACGAAAGAACATTTGGGATGAACAATGATGGAATCCTTGGTGAAACTCTCAGAAGCTATAGTATGTCCTAAATTACTATTCTGGCATATACTAAATAGCGTCATATTGACAATGAAATAAATATGCTTAATCTTAAAATGACAGAAAATTTGCAGTTGATATGTCAAAAGAATTTAAGCATGGTACTTAAACAAATACATCTTTGACTTTAAAAAACGGATGGCTTGTCTAAACTTCAACGGAAGTGACATTACCGCACGAAAGAACCGAGTTGCATCTCTTTTTGGTAAGTTCCCATAAGACCATCCTCTGACTTGAGCAGTAGCACCCTCAATCACAGGAACAGAGTACCCAGTATCTGCTCTCCTTCTCTTTGAAAGTCTATCTTGAGGTTCAGTGCCTTTCTTCTTCCTTTTATTAATCTTCTCTGGTGGTAAGGCCTCTGCGTAACTTTTTATGTTTCTCGCAGCCCGGGGGGCCAAAGCATCCTAGAGAAATAAAGGGATAGGTAAAAGATCTTAGCACATTATACTACCCTTAAGAGACAACATGAATTCGTCAGTAAATCACATACCTCTGCTTGTGCAACAGCTTCAGGCTTAATCATCCGGCTCCAAAAAGTTCCGTCGTCTTCAGCACTGCAGAAATTGGCCACCTGCATATGATGAGAAAAGAAGATTTTAGATTCAGCAGTTAGAAATGAAATACCACAAGCATTAGATAATGAAAAGTGTCGACACCAAACTAGTAAAAACAAAATCCAGGGTGATGAGGTGCTCTCTACGCAACATCTCAGTATCGTAACATAAGCGATATAAGTAAATACTTGAAAAGGCAGTGTCAAACCTATTACTCAACAAGTCATGCTATCTGACCTTAAAAGCACTCAACAATTCATGTCCATTCTCTCCTTCAGTTACTTTGTCTTCAACCTTTTCTGCTCTTTCAAGAATCTCATCAATATCCATACTGAGGAGCCTTTTCTTGCTCTCCTCGTCATTTTTCTCTTCCTTGAAGAGTTCTTCTGCCCCAAATCTCAAAATTGCTGAAAGTTCATTCTACATAACAAAAGCAAAAGGTTAAAAACACACGTATAGGTATCTAGAATAGAGTAACATAGACAAACTATTCCATATGGAGTAACTAGCATAGGAGGTAGACACCGGTAATATGTATAGCAGCGTAGTAAGAAGTGGTTCTTCATATACACTTACTTTATCAAAAGAACTTCCTTTCTTAGATTCCTTTTTCTCCAATCTGCCCTCAGCGTTCAATTTTTGAATAACTAAATGGTCCAGAACCTACATCGATCAACAAAATGTGAAAATCAGAATTATCACCATCTTCAAATGAAAACTACAACACATATCCAAACATCATGAGGATACATGGAGAGAAGTTTCAGATTTATTAACTCCATAGCAAATAAAAGATCTACTACCCAAGATATGTAGACAGAAAATCAAATTCCGACAATGGTTGTGAATAAAAAGAAAAAGAGTATAAAGCACGCATTTCTATTATTTTCACAGTACAGCATACCATTTTCTTCTTAGCCCGCTCCAAGATATCTTCCTCAACGCTCTTGCTAGTGACAAATCGATAAATATTAACTACTTCTTGCTGGCCAATTCTGTGAGCTCGGCTCATTGCCTTGTTTCCGGAAAGTGCATAAAAAACAAGCCAATTAATATTGACACTATGTTACAGATTTTAAGGAGCAATAAGAAGGGAAATAATAATTATATGCTGCAAACCTGTAAATCATTTTGTGGATTCCAATCCGAATCAAATATAATAACTGTGTCTGCAGTTGCAAGATTAATGCCCAAGCCACCAGCACGAGTGGAAAGAAGAAAACAGAAATCCTCACTACCAGGGGCATTAAAATGATCCATAGCCTGCTGGCGTAACTCGGCTTTAGTGCTACCATCAAGTCTCTGAAATTGGAACCCTTTGAGAGAGAGATATTCTGCCAGCAAATCCAACATTCTAACCATCTGTGATCATATAAAAACTAATTAAATTTATGATAACAGTGGAGAAAAATGCAAGTAACAATGGCATGTCCTCGACAAAGTTCAAATGACATGATAACAGTTAAATTTTTTCTCTATCAAGTTTCAATGGAACTTTATTGGCAGGCAAAACAAAGTTAAGGTCCCAATGCTAAGATATTGAAACTAAAATAGAAAAGTAAGTAAATGGCAGTGACTGAAAAGGCTTGAGGCGAACTAAGGCCACAAGCCTGATATTTGCCTCGGCGTGAGGTGAAGCAATAGCAAACCTAATGATCTATAGACAAAGCATGATATATATATACTTTAGTTGAAAATTGAAAACAAAATCAGTCCTAAACAAGAATACTTTCACAAAAATATATAGTGCTTTCAATTTTGACTCCAGCCGCCCTTTTTTACCAACACACTCACAACAGTAAATTGTAAAATAAAATGATAAAAGAAGTGGTAGAAAACAAGCGAAAAAATCTTGAAGAAAGAAACGGAAATGAAACAAGATAGTTGAAAACCAAAACTGCTAGCAGCAAGTCTGACAATGTCCAAAATCGATGAGAATAGATTGCAGGCAGAATTTGAAAAGGAAAAAAAGAAAGAAAGGAAGACAAAAAGGAGAAAGGGAAATGTCTGAACTCTGTGAGTCACAATTGTGGCCACCGACCGCCGGACACCTTTGGAGAAGGGTTAATAGCTTGGTTGAAGGAAACACACAATTCAATTTACGGTTTGGCTGGGTCAAAGATGAGTTATTGAGATGCACGTTGTAGACTCCTGTAAATTGAAACCTTAAATTAGGGCTTAGGTGCTTCGACCAGTGCAAGGCGAGTGCCTCGCTAAGGTGTTGCCATATGTGAGCAGTGTTATCAATTTCTTATGGCGGAAAATGGCTGCAGGCTGAAATCCACCCATAGCCGCCATCCTTAAAAAATTTCTAACAGCGGGTTGGCATAAATTTGGTAACGCTGCAGGTGAGGCTAGTGGCTTGCACAAGGGCACCTCGCCACACCTACTCGAGGCACCAAGACCTCTTCTCGTAGCCTCGCTCACGCCATGGCGGTGCCTTTTTAATCACTGTTCTATTGATCAGCTTATAAAAGAGTAGCCGGCTCAAACATGGCTATACTCTCTTTCTGAAGAGCGACTATCGATAGGTATTTTGGCGGCATGCACTTAGCCTTAAAATTTATAATAAAAGGACCGAGGATCCAAGAATTGTAAATGGACCAGAAGAGAACTGTTGCTAAGCAAAATAGCAGATTATGAACCCCAATCACCACCTATCGTACTATATTAATTGGGCTTGACGAAGGTATAAGGGTGAGATTGGAAGTTCATACACGCTCGATGTCTCATGGTCAACATGAAAAACATGTCAAAGCCCAAGATCCATCAGCAAACCAAAATAATATTTAAAAAATGTTCAGGGTTTGCAACTGCAGTAAACTCCAAGCACTTCCCAATTTCCCCTTTACAATGTAAACCTAATTAAAATATATATTACATAAAACAACCCATACAATGTGCACCACACGAAAGTTGAAACAATAACACGCACAAATTTTATCAATCATTCTATCCTCAACTTTTAAAAGGTCTTAACAAATTCATCGTAAGCTCCCAAAGATTTGTCAGCAAGACACTGTAAACATCACATACATGAAAATAGCCACCTCAAATCTGCAGTAACACACCACCAACCTATCAAAATGGTAAAGGAAATGCAAACCTGAGAAAATATCAACACACGGTGCTTTGTCTCATACAATCTGTCCAGAAGCTTATCTATTATGACCAGCTTCCCGCTGCTTAAAATAATTCGCTCAAGTTTAGTGCTACCAAGGAAATTTGTATCCCCACCATAGCCATGGTCTGCGCTTTCAAACAAAAATGGATGATTGCAACATTTCTTCAACTCCACCACTATATTTAAGAGAGAAACCTGCATAATGTTTCAGACAAGTGTAAGATCAAAGTTTCAGTTACTCATTCTTCATCATATAGATGAAACATTTACATAATAATATGAGCCACCTAATTGGCATCCATTAGCTGGCATGCCATACCCCACTAAAGCATTTTTTGTTACTAACAGAATACAACTAATTTTCAATCCTACAATAAATCAGTCATTTCAATAGGGCATATTTCGGTTCCTACCAGATTAAAACATAGACAAAATTCTCATCACAATTAACTGCACCAAAATCTACCAAGATTACTTCAAAAAAGAAAAAGAAACAAAACCTGATTGCCACGGACTCCTTTATTCAAATCATGGAAGTTGCGTTCCAAAATCCACTTATAATACCTGAAATATGCAGACCAAAATAAAAATGAGATATTGTAAAAACAATAAACACTCAAGCAGGCACTATTTCAGAGTAAAAAACAAACTCACTGTTTCTGGAGTGGCGACATTTCAACCCTTAGGATGCGCTCAATTTTAGGAGGCAAAGATTTCTCTACATCTTTTATGACTCTTCTGAGAATGTGAGGTCTTAACTCCATGTGAAGATTTGTAAGCTACATGAAATGTAAAAACAAAGATTCGCTACTAAACTACGATAAACAAACTTAAAAGAAATAGGAAAAAGGATGTTGATACTTGATACTAACAAGGAATGAGTAGTACCTCGATCTCATTGAACGAACTAAGATTCTTGTACCTCTGGACAAAATCATCCTTATTTCTAAACTTGTCAGAATCAAGAAAATGAAGCAAAGCCCTGCAATTTGCATGGTAAATAAGCACAAAAGGCAATGCCTGCAACTTGCAATATGAATGAATATACATATAGAAGTTTCTGTCACACAAGAAATCACTTCAAATATACGAGAATAATACAGCACTGAATAACAAACCAAAGAAAAAGAAAAGATATCTAGGAAAACAAACAGGAAAATACATTGCCTTCATAAGATTTGAAATAAACCAAACAGGATGTAATGGCTGCAATAAGCTCAAAGATGGCTAATATATACCACAGAGTCAACAAGTCAGTTGAACA